TGTAAAGCACCCTCTTTGCGCGAAACCCACTCCGAACAGCTTACGAACATATGGGACACCCGAATATGTACTATGTTACTATGAATTAGTTGTGTGCTGAGAGTAAGTAGTCGTATTAGCGCGTCGTCCCAGTTACCACTTGTTTCGATAATTATTGCGTAGCTGCGAGTGTATTGACATTATTTCGATGCAGCAAGAGGAATCGATGCGGAACTGCCCAAAATGACAGTGGAAAATTGGACCACTGGGAAGAAGCTCTCTATCTCTGAGTCTCTCACAGGACGTGACTGGGATAAGGCCTGGAGCATATGGCCCGGGGATTGATCCCGCCCTGTCGGTTGCACTTGGGTGCATTCGGGTGGGGATGTGGCACAGGCGAGAGCCCGAGCTTGGGATCGCCCCACTCAGGCCAAAGCTCCACCCCATGCAGCAGCTGCTGCTGCATCTGCACCTGCCCTGCGGCCCTCGAGACATTTTGTGCTCCTGCCTCTCTGTCTGTCCGTACACGTCCCGCTGCGATCTTGAGCTTGGCAAAAGTATCTAACAACAGAACATACGGGAAGACACAAATCTGTGAGGTGTAGGTATTACGAGTGAAAGACTGTGGTGAAAAGACAAATAGAGAGTCGAAAGGAGCAAGAATGATTGACATGAGGGAAAAGCTAGGTACGCCTTCCCAAAAAGCTACAATACCTACCTATCACTGGCGACTGCCTTAGCCGTGAACCCAGCCCCTGCCAACACAACCACGACGACCAAACCGTGGTTGCCATCTTCCCAAACGACCCGGCGCTAATCTAAAAGAAGTAGAGTACGAGGGCGGGCGGCAGGAGACAGCCAGTCCAGAGATCAGAAGAGAGGGGGGAAATAGAAGGAGAAGCAGAGAGAGTGGGCAGCCCTTTCCTTCCATTCGATGGAGTGAAGAGTGACTACTGGGGTACTTTGCTCCACGGGCGTCGGCCTAGCACACAGTCCCTTCTCATCGAGATCGATCAACAGAGCGTAACCCGATCAAACCCTCCAAGATCGTCTAGCGATCGAAAGCAGTCGAAATGCCACTTTCCCTTTCCCCTCTCACTCTGCCGTCCCTCGCCGTCTCTCTTTCTGCCAATTATGCTGGACTGCCCCAGTTGCGGCACAGCCAGCAACACCGCATTTCCCAGGCCCAATGTATCCTTAGCGTACCTAGTCAAGCTCCCATCTCGCTCTCTCGCGCACTGCAACTGCATCAGGTTGACCAAACAGAACAACGAACCTAACCCCTTCCCCATGTACCATGTCCCCGGTCACATCTATCCGGCCGCCATCTGTCTGGTCAATCCCCGAACCAGTACTCCGTAACCCAGCATCAGATGTACCCCCAGCAGTACCTCCTCACGCTCTCACTCTCACTCTCTCTCTCTCACTTCGCCCGCCCAAGGTAGACTGAACCCTCTCCCATGCTTTCGCATGGAACATTGCTCCGGGTTGTCCTCTGTTCCACCGCACGCCCAGCTAGTTCACTGCCTTTTTCTTCCTCTCCACGCTGCTCCGCACCTCGAGACTAATACCCAGTCGTTTCTCCCGAGCACGTACCCTTGGATTGTATAAGACTTAGATACCGCCCTGTTCCACACTTTGCCTCCCCAACTTCCACACACCCTTTTGGTCCCTCGACCGACGAGCTCCTTCAGAAAACGCAACCGTCTTAGGACACCACGATAAACCCGTACGACTCATACGTCTCTATATCCCCGAGTTAATCACTAGGTTTCGACCAACCTCATCGCGATACCAGGTGGTTCCGGCTTCAAGGTTCTAGCCACAACGAAGCCCATCACCGCAAGTGAATAGAAGCTTCCAATATATTCCTGCACCCCGCATCAGCTACCTCTCTGGCCAAGCCATCTTTGACCCCATTACCACTCAACTATCTATAATACTCGTCGATCTCCGAATCCTCGACGTCAACGAAAATGCCGAAGCGCTCCTTGGACGCCAGCAACCTGTCGCCTACGATGCAGACTGAACGGGCACAGAAGAAGGTACGTTCAAGCCGTGATATTCGAGTCAAATCATCCTGCCCGCATTAGTACCCATTCCTTGACTATCAAATTATCCACGAACGTCTTTCCCCCCAGTTTGGCTATACTTGCCACACTTGTACAAAATTGTTTGCCATGGTGGTTTGTTTGACTTGCCAGAAGAAAGTTTCCAATTGCCAGAAGAAAGTTTCCACTCCCCCGGATCCAAATGCTGACCATTCACACGTAGACGGAGAGATCTCATGAAGAGAACCAAGAGCGCGCTTACATTGCCGCCTCACGGCGGGCGGACCGTAGTATCGAAGCCCGTGTGCAGTCCGCCAAGATGGCGAGCGAGATCCACAAGAAGCGCACCGGCAAGGGATTCAAGATCTCTGAAGCGATTGTGCAGGCGGAGGAAATGTACGAAGAGGAGGAGGACGACATGCCTCGCTCCTATCGCATGTTGGCTGCTCACCTTCAGACCGGTTCCCCAGAGTTCGACTACCGTGTCAATGCCTTTTTGGCTAACAGAGTAGCCATGGCGAGCATGGTGGCCGGGCTCCGCAACGAGGAATGGGCTCAAAACCCAATCAATAAGATGTTTGCCGAGCAGTTCCCAAACGCCAACAAGCAAGCACAGGCATTGTCTCGTAACATTACGAACTCAATGTACTCCGTTCCCGGGCAACGTTCAATGTCTTTGTCACAGCCCACTCAGTCCGAAAACGCGGTCACCAGCCCCATGTCACCAACCTTCTCGTCGGTAAACTTCCAGCCCGAGACCCAGCGATACCAACGCCAGAGAACACAGTCAGTGGCGTCGCCCATGGACATGACCACACCGGTAGCGCGTGATCATCCTCAATCGCCGCCAGCTTTGTCGCCGTCATCAGACGCTGCTGCTGGCACCCCCTCGACGCGAACAGCTTCGGCTTTCCCTTCACCCATGACGACAATCGATCACAGCCTCTTTTCTCCTGAGTCATCCTTTACCGCTGAGCTGCCTATGGATGCGAAGATGATGGTACCCAACTTGGACATGAGCGACCCGATGGCTCAAATGTTTATGGGCAACCCGTTACAGCAGCAGATGTACTACCCAGACACTCATTCGATGGCCGACCTGAAACATGAGCAGCACCTGAATGAGCTTACGCTTTCTTCGCACGAGTACTTCAACGGACACGTGAACCCTTATGCGTCTCGGTTTGAAGAGCCCAGAAGCGATGATGCGACCCCAGGCCCCGTTAATGACAACTGGGACGCCTTCCTAGACTTTGGTGAGCAGTCCGACACTGGCGCCATTGATCCGACATTGTAGTCGGCATACCACACCGTGTAATTTGACACGAAGTATTGATGGAAGTAATGAGGAAGAAGCGTCCAAAAGGGATGACAAGCAGAAGTGGTATGATATGATGAAGGGACCCTGGCTGGTTCATGAGCATGACTTTTTAGAGTACGCATTGCATCGGTCGGGCCACAAAAGGAGGCATGGAATACCCATGGGAAAGGCACTTGGTTACTTCTTTGGCGTTATGGTACGGGAAATCTGCCCGATTTTGCCTTTTTGTCGTCTTCCTTTTTCCTGTTCACAATGTCCGCTATTTTATGGACGAAAGGGGCCTGTATGTCCTCAAAACATGTTTTTCTTATGTTGGGAGCCGTCAGTGTTTGGAACTTACACGCCAGGAATTTGGCCTCTGTATGTTCGCTTGGGAACGGGAACACAGGATTTGCGAGAGAGCACCAAAGATGGAAGAATTTGGGAAGGAAGATGATATCCAGGGAGGCGTGGACGGCGAGGGAAGACACGCCGAGAAAAGAGGAGGACGGATACGAAAACCCTGAAGTTGACGAAATAGTTGTTGGCAGGCCTCGCCTTACGGTGGTTCAGCGGAAGCAAGTGCTGGTAAGAGGCACGAATCTGACCAGGGTTTGGTTCAGCCGGGACTGCAAAAAAATAAGAAAATGAGAGAAACTGTTATCTGTCAATTAGTGTCTCCTTCGTGAACCCATTTGTTTTACATGTTGAGTGGGCAAGCCAATGCAAGCTGGAGGCAGTATTGCTGCACGACTCCTACCGTGGTACTTAGGTTAACATTACACCACGAACTAACGGCCACACTCGACCCCCAGTCATGAAGTTCTTCTCTTGATAGAAATTAAGCACCGTACTCATTCAGCTCGAACGGCATCTTTCGAGAGAAAAGCAGAGTTGTTGCATTAAATGACAAGTGCACTACTAAGCAGCAACAGCTTTGACCATAGCGCTTACCCTTCTGGTTCAATCACACAATATCAGGTACCTTTCCATCATAACTTTTTTCCAGAAACTTGCCGTCAGACTGGGAAAGGAGGCGAAACTGCCTTGACCGAGGGAAGTACCGAACCGTTCACCGGCTTTGATATCTCCACTTCGCCACACTTCGGAACCGGATGTGGGGCGGGAGGACGGTAGCCACGCGTGCCACGGTACGGAGTACGTAGAACAAGACGTCCAGGTGCACCTTTAGTGACACTGACCTTCGCTCCCTGACCTTGGTGAGTATTCGTCGAAAGGAGATATCCCTATCATCTACCATATGACGGCCTGCTCTAAATCTAATTTAATCTTTGTTAATTGTTTACATGATGCTGATTGGAAGCCGTCAACACCGCGGTTCTCATCCAGAGTCGTGGAGTTTGCTTATCTAATCGGCCCATCCCCTAATGACATAAGCAGTGGCTGCTTAATGACGGGAGCTGCCACAGAAAGCCCAGCCGGTTAGCAGCGCTCTCCAGGGACTTGCCTCCCATAATGACGGGCCAGCCCCACAAAGCCAACGGCTGGGAAAACTTCCTACTGGCACAAGCCGCGGTCGCACCTACCACTGTAGCAAAGCTCGAGTCGCCTAGCCACTGCCCTGGTTCTGCGCGCTCGCGAATCTATCGACGACCCGCTCTTTGAACAATTCCCACCTCTCTCGGAATTTCGAAGTCTGGTCAACATTCATGTTGGCAGCTTCCAGATTCACCCGCCGAGTCATGACGTCCGCATACGCCAATGGCTCTGCTAAGGCGGCCTACTCGACATCCTCTGCGACGACTACTGCATTGAGCAGATGGAGCATCGCGACGGCACAGCTGCCTGCCGTCGATAAGATCAAGGCTCTGCACATCTACGACTTTGACAACACACGTAAGTCTACCTTCTCTATGCTGCCGCGTTGCGTGATTCCTTCGCCAATCTTCTGAACCCAAAGCTAACGTCGTCTGACATCCATAGTCTTCAAAACTCCCTTGCCGAACCCCGCATTATGGAGCGGCCCTACGATCGGCGTGCTGTCAAGTCAAGACGTCATCTGCAACGGCGGCTGGTGGCACGACTCCCGAATCCTCTCAGCGACGGGTGAGGGCGCCGACACGGAAGAGAAGCGCGCGTGGGAAGGCTGGTGGAATGAAAAGATTGTCGAGCTGGTGAAGCTGAGCGTCAAGCAAAAGGACGCTCTGTGCGTGCTGCTGACGGGCCGCTCCGAGCGAGGCTTCGGGGAGCTCATCAAGAGGATGATTCACAGTAAGGGACTCGAATTCGACATGGTCGGGCTCAAACCTGCAGTCAGCCCAACGAACCAGAACTTTTCAAGCACGATGCACTTTAAGCAGCTCTTTCTCACCGCGGTCATGGAGACGTACAAGAACGCCGAAGAGATTCGCATCTACGAGGACCGTCCGAAACACGTCAAGGGATTCAGAGATTTCATGACAGAGTATAACCGCAAGCAGAACATCAATGCTACTCGCACACGCGGCCCCATCACGGCGGAGGTCGTTCAAGTCGCGGACATGTCAACGACCCTGGACCCCGTGGTTGAGGTTGCTGAGGTGCAGCATATGATCAACCTTCACAACGAGGAGATTGGCAAACACTCGACTGACGTTCGCCCGCAACGACTGAGGATCAAGAAGACTGTCTATTTCACAGGCTATTTGATCAGCAAGGAAGACACGGCGCAATTGATGAAGATGGCCCAGATCCCCTCCGGACTGCCCGAGCAGGAGCTCAAGTTCCACGCCAACAATATTCTCATCTGCCCTCGTCCTTGCCCGGCCAGCATCCTGGAAAAGGTTGGAGGTATGGGCAGCAAGATGAAGTGGGAGGTCACAGGCACAGCGTGCTTTGAAAATAGCATCTGGGCAGCGAGCCTCCGACCCGTTCCCGCCACCGCGAAGTTCCACACGGATAACCCGTCGCCTCTCGTTGTGCTCGCCCTCCGCAAGGGTGCCCGCCCCGTAGATGCCGGCAAGATCCAGAACTGGCAACCGATTCCCGCCGATAAGGCAATGACCTTCGAGACAACAGTTGGAGAGAAGATGATCCTGCGCATCGAGCCAGAGGACCCCCGCGAAGACGAGTATGAATCGCTCTTCGCCAACAAGTCTTCTAAGCGGAAACATGATGGCGGCGACTACTCACGCGACCACCACCGACACAACCCCTATAACGGCCGCAATGAGCGCCGCGATTTCCATTCTGGGCGAGGAGGCAGTGGCCGTGGTGGTGGTGGTGGTGGTGGTGGTGGTGGTGGTGGCTTCCGCGGCGGTGGAGGAAGAGGTGGCAGAGGCCGCGGCAATGGTAAGGGCGGCCGTGGCGGACGTGGCATGCACGGCTACCGCTCCCTCGACGACGTCGAGCCCCGCAACCAGCAGGGAGGGTACGGACAGACTGTCGAGTATGACGACAACAGCTATCCGTCCCTCCCAGGGCAGCAGCAAGGCGGCTTCCACGGGGGTCAACAGCAACAGTACCAACCTCCGCTTAGCGCGTGGAACTCGGGTCCTCCGCCGAACGCCCCCACGGGCCCAGCTAGTCGTCCCATGGGCGGCGGCGGCGGTGGCGGTAACTACGGAGGTGGTGGAAACGCTGGCAACAGCAACGATCTCCAGAGCTATTACTAGAAGGAATGCTCTTGGAGATGAGTCCGCTAAGCAATTGTTTTGGGGCGGCGGTTCAAGAACAAGCTTCTATCCAGTTTTTGGGGATCATAAGCTTTGCCATTCGTCGCGTAAATGGGGATGGCCAACCTTCTGAGTTCTGCTGTATGTTCGAGAAAACACAAAAAGTCGGGGGTATCACACGGTGATGGATGGGACGGGAGTCTTCACATCTTTTTGGGCCAGGTTTCAGCTCGGCGTTTTTGGAGGGCTTTATGCTTTTTGATATGATACCTTTTTAGTCGCCTTGCAATACAAGCAGGTCATTTCATGCTGTTTTCGCCATCTCTGACGTGCCCGTGATGCTTCGTCTATGAGACACTGGTAGGTCCACTTTGTTGTTTAACGTATTCTTTGATTCTTATTCTACCATAACTTTTTGGCCAAGTCCTGGACCCTGCTTACGAGTCTGCTGCAGTGTACAACTGTGCTATGCAAGCCATCCACTCTCTACGCCAGGCATATAACACTCGTTGATGGTTCGAGTCCGTTTTCTTCCTCTGTCTCTCTCCTCTCTCTCCCTCCTGCACTTGCCTAATCACAACTCCCGAGACGTAGTCCGAGATGCCAACACCTAGTCGTCATCCTCTTCCGAATCATCGTCGTCCTCCTCATCAGCATCCTCCAACCACTCGACGAGAACCCGGCACTTCTCCTTGAGCGCCGCCATGCCCTCGCCCCCGCCCTCCTCGGCGCGCTCGTCCTCCCACCAGGCCAAGATGCCGTCCTCCTCGAGAACGTCCAAGCCATACAGCTGCTGCAGCATGGCGGCGAGCAGCACGCCGGCGCGCGCGTGCTCGAGGTTCCGGCACCCGAGCAGAGCGCGCTGCAGCGCGAGGACGAACTCGACCTGCTCCGTCTCGCCGCCGCCGACGCCGACCTCGGATACGAATTTTGAGGCACCCTTGTTGGAGTTGAAGGTCTTGTCGGCGGCCTTTGCGGGCTCGAGACCGCCGTGTTCGGGGTCGAGGAGCTCTGCGGCGCGGCGGGCAAAGGCGATGGCAACAGCCTTACGCATGGCCACGTCCGAAGCGTCGTTGGCGAGGCGGAGACCCATGAATTCGAGCTTGGCGGAGTCAAAGTCGCCTGATTCGGCGCGGAGGGCATCGAGGAGGCCGTGGACGGCGTCGTGGTGGAAGCCTGATTTGCCTTGGGAGTCGTCTGAGACGAACGAGTCTGCGCGGTTGCGGGAGTCGGCGGAGAATTGGGTGATGCCGTCGCCGGCGTCCGAGTCGTCGTCGTCGATGTCGGAGGAGAGGGTTGAGACTGTCGAGGTGGAGAGGTTGAGGTGGGCGAGGTTGTAGAGGAGAGAGCGCTGGAGGGTGGAAGGGTCCTCGTCGTCCATGTCCTCGGCCTCTGGGTCGACGTAAGGGGCGCCCTTACCTGAGGGACCGACGAGTGACTTGTCGGGATTGACGGGCGTGCCGTTGTGTGTGGTGACTGCGAGGACCGTGGCCTCGGGAATCTTGCTGTTGTCGCTGAGGACAACGCCAAAGGAGAGGAGGGAGCCGGCAGCGACGACCGAGCCCTTGCCCACGATGCTTGAGTCGGCTAGGATGGAGCGCGTGATGACCGTATCATCTTCGATTACGGCGTCGTCCCAGATGAAGCTGTTTTCGATGCGAACGTTATTGCCGATCTTGCACCGCCTGCCGATGATGCTGTTTGATACCGTGCTGCCGGCGCCCACGGTGGCTCCCTGGCCGAGGATTGACCTGGTAATCTTGCTGGTGGGCGCCATCACCGTTCCGTCCTCAACGCAGACTGCACCGCTGGTCATCTTGTACGTCTGACCGGGAATGACGTTGCAGTCGGGAACGAACGGGAATGTCCAACGGCCGAGGACATCTTTGCTGATTGACTCGTACATTTGGAGGTTGCTCGCGCGCGCTGCGTAGCCGTCATCGAGGACCTCTGCGTAGATCGCCTTGCCGTTCAGCTCCCAATCTTTTAGGACACCATGCAGAAAGTTTCGCCTCGGGAGCTCGTAGTCGAAACTCTCGGACCACAGCGCCAGCACTTCAGGAGTACAGATATCGATACCCGCATCAATCAGGTCGCCCCGCATCTCAAAGTCGGTCGAGAGCTCGTCAATCACGGCCGGGTCGAGGGTGAGGTAGTGGTCGCTCTGGAGGGGATGTATCTCGTCGTAGTGTAGGCACCGCTTTGTCTTTGAGTCGATCACGAAGACGGGGTTGATTCCGTTGGGCTTCGTTCTGTGCTCCTCCGCGCCGCCTGATCGCAGGACCACTGTCATGATATTCGTTGCCGCGGCCTCCTTGCGCGCCTTATGTGCCGCCAGCGCGCCGTCAAGTGAGATGTTGGATACCACGTCGCCGTGGACCACAATGAAGTCGCCGTCCATAATGCCACGTCCGTCGAGGTCACGGAGGAAGTCGCCGATTGAGCGGGCGTCGGATACGCGGATGAACTGCAGGCTCGTGAATGGAGTTCGAATGGACATGGGGGACCATCTTGATGTGTTGATATAGTTCTCGATCTGTTCGGAGTGGGAGCCGCAGTAGATGTAGACCTCTTGGACGCCGTTCATGGCGAGGAACTCGAGGGTATACTCGATGAGGGGCGTGTTTGCAAGGGGTAGAAGGCACTGCGGGCGGGCGGTCAGTCGTCGTCGCATAGCTCCGGGACATATATCATGACTTACTCTTGGCTTCTCTGCTGAAAAGGGAGCAAACCTATCTTGAAAAGAGTCGGCGATGAGCTGCAATGGGCGAAAAGGAAAGCCATCAGGTTAGCCAATTCAACACCCATCACCGTGCCTGCCCCACCATGACGCTTCAGACTTACCACAGCCTGCAGGACATCCTCGCGCTTGCCCTCACCTCCAGCCTTGCCGGACTTCTTGCCTTTGCCAGCGGCGGCCTTTCCCTTTTGCTGCGACATCGTGTGCTAAGGTGGATCGCAAGGGCGTGGGTGGGCGCTTTGGGGGGATTTATTGTGTTGGTCGCGGGGTGGTGAGTCAAAGCCCGGTCGCAAGCTTGGGAGTTGGAAATTTAAGGTGAGTGACTCAACGGCTCCGAGGCGGGGTGGGCCGTGCGGTAACCCTCTCTCGGTCTATCTCGGTGAGGAGCTTCACCGAATATTCCGCTGCAACAAACTCATCTCTAGACTATGATATTACCCGGTAATACGGTGGCACATGGTTGTATGATTCAGCTGAGAATTTCTACTGCTTACTATGGCACATAGTCTCGCAGAGACCACAGCTTTTACATTTGTACGATTGATATGAACTCACCAAATACCAAATAAGGCCAAGAGAAAAGGGGATTCAAAATATATTGACTATCCACCACTTACACGTGGGTACCTCTTGAATTATGCGTGGAAGATGAAGCATAATAATTCAGGCGTATCTATTGTATATGAATTCATCTCAAATTCAAGTACACATTGAACAGCTTGACAAAGTTCTCTTTAAGAACCCTTGCGCATTTTCCTTCATGGCTTTTGGGAGGGTGAAGCATAGTTTTTATGTTGGCTTCAGGATACGCCTATGTGATAACCGAATTACAGTCTAGGCGAATAGCTATGTTTTCGAATCAATAGCTGGCCTATGTCATAAAAGACTGAGACACACGCAAGAGCAAGAAATAGCAAGGCTGACAAAATAAACTTATGGTAGATCATGCCGATAGCTAGATAGGTCGATAGGGAGCTTAAATAGGTGGCCAACCTAGCGAGAGCCTACGGCAGACCAAGTTCTCCCATCCATAACTACTTGAAAAGTCTGACAATCGGAATGCGGACGATTCTAGACTTTCTAGGGAATGAAATAGTACGATATTAGAGTAATCAACATGGCCTTCGCATGGACTCATGGTAGAGTTTACATAGACTTGCAAACATAAAAAATGCGTATCTCTGATTACTGAAGCTCCCTGAATGAGTTTGTTGACGGTGTCAAGACATCCAGGAAATGAACTTGGGCACAGTGTGGTTCTGAATGCCATGACGAATAAGATTTCATGAAATGGAGTATCTAGCCCATTAACCAACGAAGTTGGCGAAACCGAAACGAAGCCGTGTTTCTTCTGAGTGAGATAATCACAAAGACCAAAGACCTCAGCACCATCTTTTGCCTATCTCCTTCAGCTATTCTAGAAGCTGCTTATCTCCAGACCCCACCCAGACGAGACAAGCTCACTACATGCCTAGTAGTCCACCAACCAGGGTTTGTTGTTTTCACCGTGGTGATCCATGATTGCTGCATTGACGAGTATTGTGTTGCGTGCCTCCTTCTCTGGCACCATGATGATATTCCCCTCCTTGATGACTGGATCTGCAATGCTTTGTGTCCCGTCGGCATGCCATTCGACCACTTGGGATCCGTAGCCCTCGTGGAGATGGCCGAAGCAGTGGAGTCGTGGGCGAATGCGTTGCACCGCCTTCCACAACTTTGGGCAGCCACAATGGGCGCCCTTGCCGTCGAGATCGAGGCGGTAGTCTTCGCCTGGGACCTGTGGCGGGCCGTGCGTAATCAGAATATCGACTTCCGAGGAGATTGGCGTCGGACCGCGGACCGCTTTGCCCAGGTCTGAAGTGTTGTTTCGGCCGGATTAAATCTGTCTTCATTCGCACCGTATGAGAATGCGTATCCGTTGAACTCGGGTGTGTAAGGCGAGGCATAAAGAGTAAAGGAACGCCCGTTCTTGAGAGTGAATGAATGGTATCCTTCGCTCAAGAGATTGATTCCGGATTGGTTGAAAAGATAAGTCGCTTTTTTTGGCTCCTCGAGATCGTCGTCTTCATCTGCATTGTCGGCCCACCATGTGGGATCCAGAGACACATCGTGGTTTCCGGGAATCACGAGCTTGAGTTCAGCGTCGCAACTCAAAAGGCTTTTGATGGCAGCTTTGTAGTTCGACATGCCGCCGATCATAGTTAGATCGCCACAGTGGAGGACAACATCTGCCGGAGGAAGCTCCGATGGGAAGGCGGAGTCGTGGGTGTCTGACAGAACCAAAAAACGAATATTGGAAGTCGCCATTTTGTTGTTGAGCGATATGAGTGGGTCGAGGGTGTGATAGTTGAGTTGCATCAAAGTTGGAATGAGAGACGTAAGCCTTGTGTAAGGGTGGCAAGTTGATTGAGATTCGGTAGAAGTCTAGGGGGATGGTCGACTTTATGTACTTCAGATGGGAAACTCAGAAAACGAGAGAGGGTTCAACCTTTCGGAGATACGTATTAAGAAGGTGGCAAAGGTTTCCATACTTCTATGGATCCACGTTTAAGGATGGTCCTCAAGGTGCCCGAGCAGATTAAAATTCGATAAGGTTAAGAAGGATTCTCGTGTGCTTTGCTTGTTCTTGCAAACATCGTGAATAAGTCAGTACCCGGGCGGTCCTGTATAGTGAATCCTTCATCTTGCTACATTATTACCTCTACTTACTGTAGTTATACTGAGGGGAATGTCTCAATCTTGATAAGCGGGAGATCGTGTGAAGTAGTGGTTCACAGAAAGTATGTAAGAGAGTGAATCACTCAATTATGCGCTACTCTTTTCAAAGACAAGGTTCTTCATCAGAGACTGAAATCAAATGATCACTTGACCCGGATTGCATGAACTGAATCAGTAGCACTTAGTGAATCAGTTGAACTTACCTCTGTTACGTAGCCCGTAGATAATACATATATAAGACCACAGTACTCTGCCACGAAAGTGAAGTTTGCTATTCGGTTACTATCCAGACTATCTTTCGGAATAGTAAACACCATGGCATCTACTCCAGAGACTCCCGGCTCTCCTCAAAGCCCTAGCACTATCCGCACTCCCAAACGAAAATCCATCATTGGATATTTCGGGGACATGAGCTTGGGTGAAGATGAGAAGGGTGGCTCTTCGCTTGAACCTGAATCTCCGACGAAGAAGTCTAGATCTGAAGCTATACGTTCTCTTCAAGTTCTTCGATCGTCAACATCAAGCTCAAGCGTCAAGAAGTCGTTGCTTCGTGGGACATTTCGATACAGCTGGCCGCCTACCATTAGAGGCAATCAAACCTTGAAGTCAAGCAGCTCATCCTCTCAGCCGAAGTAAGTACCATTGGAAATTGAATTGCTGGAGATGCAATTTCTAAATTTTGTTTGCAGAAATCCAAAACTTACTCTGAGAATGAGTGATCTTTACCGTGTTTATGGAGACAATTGGGCTATGGACCCCAAGGTTGAAGACCAACCTGTCGACGTTTCTGAGCATTTCTTGGTTGTTACCAGAATCATGGACGAGGTGAAAGAGATCTTGGGGAAAGCAAAGAATGGAGGAGACGACATCGCGAGTTTTCTCCTGCAGCAGATGGCAGAGGCGGTTTACTCCTCCAATGTAAAGTCCAGAAAGGGCTTGGGCCTTGATATCACCATGAAACTTTGCATGATGATATTCGAAGGCAACGCAGGCGTGGAATACACCGAGCGGTAAGCAAAAGTACAGCTTGCACTATCTTGAAGACATTTTACTAAGACATCTTATAGAACAGAAGAGTACCAGGTTCGGCTTGAAGCACTAGTACGGAAAGACGTACCTCCTGGCGAGCACCAGGTACTTCGAAGCCGGAGGGAGATTGTTCAGCATGCTGCTGCATTTCAACATATCATCAACCAGTTCGTCCGTGAAGGAAAGCCAATGACCGAGCAACTGATCAAAGACACACACGCTATACTCGTCAAAGGTGTTAGTGGCGAAAATGCCGGCATACTCAGTAGCAGAGATTTTGGTGGTTTCTACCGCACCGAAGACGTTTTCGTGGGCACTACCAGATTTATCCGCCCGAATAAGATCTCCGAAGCCATGAACTCGATGATCTTGAACCTTCAACAGCACTTGATAGCGTCTGAAAGATCACAATCGCTCGATCCCTTTGCGACAGCTGCACAGTATTGCGATCGGTTCGTCAATATTCATCCATTCGAGATGGTAACGGGCGCATGTGCCGGCTCATTCTCAACGCAATCCTCATCAAATACGCTAGAATCGTTGTTAATGTTGGAGAGCATGGGCAAGAGAGAGACGAGTACATTCAGACAGCTCGTGAAAGCAGAGAAGTTGGTGGTCATGGTGGTGCTTTAGCAACGATGGTTTTGAAGGAGGCCACCAAGAGCTACCGGAAAATACGCAACACGCTGAGACACAGACACCGGGAATAGGCCATAAGAACCTGCAAGCAACTGTGTAAAGAATTCACACTGCATTTTGGGCAGCTGTCCTTTGAATAGGAGAGAATGTGATCAATCTGAAAAACATGATACTGCTAGCCACTTTCACGGCGCCGCAAGGCCCAGATTGCATCCAGCAAGATAGGTAGAAGGCCGTCCGACGAAATTATGACCCGTCCCTTTCAAATATTTTATGCCTCTTCATACTCACGCCGTCACGCACGGGTTATCCTCGTATTCAAAAATCAGACCACTTACACGGATTTAAGACCCCAGATCCCGGAGTAAACCACCCGAAGGCCAAGATCGAACCCCTTGGCCCAGCACGTCAACATACCAAACAAAGTAAAACGCCACAGCATGCCGAGGCCTACCTACTTATTGCGGCTGATGCATGCAGTATGGTAAGAAAGGGAAATGGTCCACGGCAATGGCACGTTGAAACGGCTGACAAGTTTTGTTTCCCAATCATCAATCATCGGGGTTGGTCCGGTTGGTGGTCCAGACCGGTACACCAAAGGGAGGAAGTTGATTGGAACTAAGCGGCTTTGTATGATTGGCTCTAGTTACGCCCATCTCACCTCCGAAGACGTGCATGATACTGCATGCTTGCTTTGTGTACGAGGCTAGTCTGTTTTTTGACTGGAGTCCTCCCTTTTGTTTTCCCCCTATGGGTATGTTACCCGTATTTATTCGTTCTAGCCGAGACTTTAGGCTCTATGACCGTCAGATGATATGGGAAACCCCTAAAGCAGGTCGGAGAATCGCATGTTCTCCAATTGGTTTTTTCTTCTTTCTTCAGGCTTGATGGAGACGTCGATGGTTAAATTATCATGAATTTCCAGACCCTGGATCGATGGCTTGCCATAGTCTCATATCTGGAAGAATGAGAATCTGCATGACGGCAAGACTTAAATTCCTTACATGCAGAACCAGAAGAGAGTTCGGGGTCGCATTGAGACATACTGATACGAGTAACAGACTAGAGGAAGCATCACAAACTCGTAGGGTCGCTAGCAAGTCATCTTACAAGGGAACCGAAGCGCCAAAAGATCACGATTTGCCTACAGGTGTTTGTCCATGATGTAAGATCTAGAGCGGTTTATGCAGTCTGACTTTGATACGGCCGTGTGCCAAGCGACCTGCATATGACCTGGTATATCCTCATGTTGTCTTTTTCGAGCTACTTCCTTTCGATGCAAAGTTGTATAGCAGATGTCAAAGTGGAGGTCCTCTACAATGGTCCTCTCGAGTCCTGACTCCGGAGAGAAAGGTTTGGACTACCTACCTTGGCGCAACCCAGAGGCAGGTGGCCAGCATTCAAAATGTGAAACTTGATCCAATCGCATGCTTCTCTGCCGGAACTCCATGGTTTTCTGCTTGCCGAATAAACCAGTTGATGGCGAAGCATCCCCAAGACGTTACACAACATGCCTCTGATTAGACGAAACCGGCCCTCTTCACTATGATGGAATACCAAACGTCCACATCACGTTTACACGTGCAGGAGCAGAACGGAAGACGTTATGTTTCCGATACCTTTCTACTAATGAGTACCGAGGCGTTTGGGGAGGTAGGCAGTGACAAGACACGATTTATGGCGAGTGACTGACACCTGTCTCGTAAACTGTCACCGAGAGACCCGTATGGCTTGGAAAATGCCATCCTCATTTAGGCTAGACGATCAGGTCATCGATGAATCTTTCATCATTAGGGTATCTATTTCTTTGCTTTTTTCTTGTTTCTCATTTCGTAACGGATTACCTATCTTTTGTTTCTATGAATTAGGTTCTCGCACTCTCTAAACCCTTACGTGGCTGGCGGAAGACTTGGGAGAAGTCCGTTGGAAGACCCAGATGGCAATAGGTACCGAGGTAAGCAGGCAAGACACAAGCCATCAATTTTCAGGGCCGAAATGTGTTTTAATGATATGGAGGGATATTGAGTGTATGTCACAAATGGGATACTGTACCATACTACCGAACCTCCCCCTTCCTCAACACTGCCATTCGCATGGGTAGATTCTTAGCCACATAGAACGCACAGAAATTGTTTTGTAAGTTCGAGCAAGCAGATTTGCCCTCACAGGTCCAAGAAGGGAGTGAAAGAGGCCAGCAAGAGATTACCACGGAGATTTCTCCGGCTCTCCAGGGGCAAAACCAGCTGGACTATCCAGCCAGCCTCAAACACAAGACACTTGAGTGATCGCCCAAGACCCATCCCCCACGAGCTTGTTTTGGGTGGGACAGAAAAAGGGCAGCACCGGCGGGCTGGTATTCGGAGTGAATCTGCGGCTGGGTACGTTTTCTTGGCTGGAACATGCTCGCCCCTTTTATTGATGAGAGCCTGAGAGGTACAAGAACCCCGAACAGACCTAAACTAGGTAGGTAGAGAGAGGGATTTCGACATTGCTACTTTCAAGGAGCTGACCCCGGCCCGAGGCCCACTACATAAGCATTTTGTAATCCTCCATCATATCTCAGAAAACCATCGCCAGTATGCTACATCTGCGCCAAGACGATGAACGACGGCAAAGGTTCTAGGCAAACGTGTCTTAGTCTATCCAATCTTGTTCCCTCTACTCGGCATCGAATTTTCCAATAAACCGGTTCTCTTGGTTTTGCCGCCTTTTTTTTTCTTTTGCCGCGCTCTCTCTACCTGCAATACGAGCCCTCTGACCATATCCAGCACTCCAACATAAACCCGGCCTCAGAAAACTACAAGAAGCAACAGTAAGAAACAAATCCTCTGCCCCGAATCAGACCCAAAAAATGAAAAAAGAACAAGAAGAAAAGGTCTAGACCGATCCGACAAGAAAAAGGGCTGGGCCCAGGCCGCTGCAAGTTCCCGTAGAAGGCGGTTCGCATACACCTGTAAGTGCCTTTGTGCGTGTAAGTGTGTGTCTGCGTGTCTGCATGTGTGTATGTGTAACAACCCAGAAACTCACACCACCTCCGTCACATGGACCGCAATCTCGCCCACACTTAGCCGCACCCTGCAGGAAGCAGCCTCCCCCCTCCACTGCCTCCAGATTGGCCCCCCTCCCTTGTAACGAAACCATTCTTTTCTTCCTTGTGCCCTGCCCCCTCCTCATCCCCATGCCTTTGCAGGATGCAGAAAAAAACTTAACAGTAGCACAGTATAGACACGATGCCCTGCCGTCGGGTTTACCGGATTACGGTGGTTTGTTCATTGCAATGAACCGTTTGCTGCGGTCGCCTTGCCTCTCATCGCCTGCTGTTGATCACCCAGAATCCCGTTTAATTAATATGCTAGGTTATCCACGCTTGTCTGTTCAATCGGTAAGAAATCCCACTTCCAGAAATTGAGACTAGACTAGCCTCGAAACTTCATCGTTCTTCCCGCTAACCGCAAGTCACAAAACCATAGTTCGTACCAGTGCAAGTCTCACGTATCTATCTACCTTGTACGAAGTTCACAAACGGAAACTTCCCGTTCTGGTTCCAAATTTCCTTCATTCGAGTAACATGCCAAGACCTGGCGCTACCCTTTCACCCACCTGCTTACCTTGCTCTAGGTTCGTTTCCCTGAATCCCCATCCTTTCTCGAAGAGTCTTGGTCTCGTCTCATCTCGTCTGGTCGGGTTCCGGCTCGCAGCCAAACGAGTAAACCTACCTTACCTTAGCGACCAAAGGAAATTCAACGTCAGCAAAGCATCACCTTCGTGGGAAAGTCTGGGCTCGTCATGGACCCCGTCATGGGCTGGTTCTGGCCAGGACTCTCCCATCAACGGGCCTCGGACGCTCAAAAAAGCACAAGCCCGCTTACACAAACAAGAGGTCCAGTCTGGCCCATGCTGCCGGCCAGCCAGCGAGCGCCAGCCCCCCCTCCCGTCCCATCCCATCCCATCTTGTCGTCCAAGGTACGATGGGCTGGATGGCACGGATAGAACCTGCAGAAGACATAAACTCTCGTGGCTTCCCACATCAGACGCATCGCTTTATCTCGCACACCTACATTTTTTCCTTCTGTTTCCTCTTTTCGACCTTCCATCGACGTCAAACCCCAGAAGACGATCACTGGTCGATGATCCTTTTCCCCGCCGCCCCCAACGTCCGCCGATCTCCCGGATCATCTCTCCAGATGTCTTCCTTCTTTTGTGCTGAGATCCACCATGGGATCGCTTTCTCCCACGCGTCATCTCTTCTGAAAGTTCATAGCCATGATGCGAGATTAATGGGACAATACAGTGGACAGATCGACAATCCCCCCCGTGGAGCTCAGAAAACCCCATCTTAACCAGCCCTACGAACCGACGACTTTCACCACTACCCCCGGCCGAATCTCCGGAAACCCGCCCACCACAAAAAACCACATAAGAAAGAGGAGCAAAGAATCCCAACGGTCACAGTGTGGGCCAGCCAGAAAGGCGCAGCAGCATCGGACAGCGGTAACCCTTCAGACGAAACTCATCTGGGCCCCCTCGGTCCCTCGTGGACGGGTGGATTCGCGGGAATACGCAGTGCTATTGCGGCGGATACGCAGACAAAAAAAAAAAAAAAAGGTTCCAGACCGTTCCGGACCTCCTTGGCAGGGACCCCGGCACATCAGACCACCCGGGCGCCACACGGGGGGGCCTAGACCTCGCCCATCGACCATCCCATCCCGTCTGCCCCCCTTCCCCCCAACCCATGCGGGGTGTACCGCCGTACCGTCCCGTAACTGCAACACCACACACAGACACCACCATCCCCAAGCTTCCAGCCTGCAAACTGCAACTGCGCGCCTATCCCGTACCCGTACCCGCATGGATCGGGGGGTCCTGCACCCTTAAGATCTGGCGTGAACCTGAGCCTGGGCTCCGTCTCTGGCCAAGAGTTTCCAGTCTTGGTACTCCGTAGAGGCAGCAGCACCCTCTATACAGTGGAGGCTTACGGAAGGATCAAGCATCTTGCTTATCCATAGGGCACTGTGTTCGCCGCAGCAGGTCCGAGTATCCCGTGCTGACATACAACCAGGGGCAGTGCTGCTGCTATCACCAAAAGCATGCCATCCCGCAACTTTTCGACTCGTCCTTGTTCATTCAGCATCACTTTCAAAAAGTCCTTTCTCAAGTATGAGCAAAACAGCAAGGTTTATCTATGAAGACGGGTAACATATACCCCGTATAGCTGACAGCAGATATCTTTTCAAATTCGCCTTCAACCACCTGCGGTTCAGAAATGCGAACCATGATACTCCACCAACTCCGATCACCAAATCTCTCCTCTCAAGGTCGGATAGTTGTCACCGATTCCGCCCCATTCGTCCAACCCATGCCGATACCCAATTGGCGACATGTCCTTTCTTGGGACATCATCAGTCGCTCTTCCTGAGGGGTATATGTTCGGAATGCAATATCGACTGCTTTGCAACCGTCCTACTCTTTCTGAGACAAGGCAGTTGTCGTGGGCCAATCCCCGAGCATTCAAAGACGGCAATGAGAAATTCACGCGCAAGGGAGGCTGGCGTTCTTCCTCTTCAACTTCATACGATGTTCAGCACCTGCTCGAGGACACTCCGTCATCACACCATTGTGCACGATGGAAGGGAAGACTGCTTAGTGGCACCCACAAATCCCGTCTAGGCGTATCCGCCTTGCGGTCCGTATAACCTTTGGCGCTTCTCCGGTCGGTCATCGCCGACAATATGATCCGGCACACGCATTTGTTGCATCCCAGGAGGCATGTTTTGGAACGTCGGTCGCTGAGCGGACGTTGGCGTCATCACCATCTGCGCCGTGTTTGCCATCGGGTAGCCAGTCTCGATGTTTGCCACGTTCGGTGATGGCTGATGCATCTGTGCAGGCGAATGCCACGACGCGGTTGTCGCTGGTGACTGGCCAGGCGTGGAGTCGAACTTGACTTGGGGGTTCATCGGTGGCGCCGTCATGTTGTTGGCGTGAAGCTGAGCAGCGCCGTGGCCTACGGCGAGCTCGTCTGGTGGCGCGTTCTTGAGGAGGTGCGGCACATGCTTTCGAAGAATGCGCAGCATGCCTTCCTTGGTAAATGGTTTGGCCAACACATCGTTCAAGCCTGATGAACGCAAAGATTAGTATATGTCGTTCGCGTGTGCAAGTGCTATTTATAACAACTTACTCCAGTTGAAGTAGTGGCTGATGTCTTCGGGGCGGATATTCGAGGTCATGGCGACAACAGGGACGTCGGGGTGAACCTCGCGGATGAGCTGTGTTGCGGATACACCATCCATCTGCGGCATGACAATATCCATGAAGATGAGATCGAAATGACCAGATGGAACCTCTTTGCATCTGTTGACGGCGTCGATACCATTTTCCTATCACGGATCAGTATCCCAAACCATGGGTACCACCGCCAGGACTGGCCGGCAAAGCAAAGGTAAGAGACTCACGGCAAGCTCGACAATGCACTCCATCTGTGTCAGGAACTTGGAACCGATCCTCGAACACGTCCTGTCATCCTCGACCAAGTATACTCGCGGTTTCTTGTTGCCCCACAGACCCTTATCGTTCGTCGACGGCGGCCGTGCTGGCGCAGCAGCGGCAGGAGCTGGCGTTGCCGGCCCTGGTTCCGGCTTAACGACGGGTGGAGCCTGAAAGTCGTTCATTGGCAAAGAATTCAGCGTGTATGGGATATTGTTGAAGTGATCCTGGGACAATGGGTCGATGCCTACGTTCTCACCTACAGGATAGACGAGGTGGCGCATGTTCATGTGCTCAGGAAGCATGGGTGGCATTCCAGCATTGCCAGGCTGGAACATGAGAGACGATGCGGAATCGGGCGGAGAGCTTTGCGCGTACATGCCGTTGAGCCTCTCGAGCTCTCGATCGTAACCGCTGTTGGTTGTTACGCTGGAAAGAAGCTCTCTCGCGCGTCGAAGCTCGGGGGGCTGATCGTCCATGGCACCTCCGTTCATCTGCGGGTTTTGTCCAGGGTACCGTTGTCCCCTCATTCTGTCTTCGGCATGCGACATGAAGTTGAGCATCTCGTGTTGCGATTGTCGCTGGGCGTCGATGATCTTGTGCATGGTGTGGACTTCATGGACAAGCGTCTTGTTGGTCCGCGCCATCTCGGCAACTTGTTCTTGCAGTGCCTGCACCTGCTGTTGTTGCGCAAATAGCGTCTCTTGGAGCAGATTGATGGACTGGTTAGTAGTGAACTGGTCCTCCGTCTGCTGTGTTTTCCTTTGAGCTGGAGCCTTTCGTCTGATATTATCCAGATTATCTTTTCTATCAGCACGGAAAGCCGAGTGCTTGAACTCCCACGCCTGCCTGCGGTGTCAGCGATATAGGGTCGGCCTACGGTGTTTCGTCCCTTACCTGCTTCCCATAAGGCGATTCGTTGTTTTCGTCGTTGCGACGTAGCTTGTGGAAGTCATACTTGTTTAGCTGTCGGACGAAGCTTGAGAAGTTGCTGTGCTTGAAGTGCTTTGGGAGGATGTCATTGGTGAATTTGTCAGTCTAGCAGTAGCATGTCAGCTTCCGATGCATTATTTCACCGCGATGTTTCAAGCTCAGCGCACCTCCAGAATGACGAAAGTGTCACCCTCGTTTCCCCATCTAACAATGTTCGCATAGGCTGGGTCCTCCAACATTCTATCGCAACTGTTAGCAGGCAGTGAATAGCCAATATCGAGGGGTATTCGAACTTGTAGAGTTTGCGAACCTGTGCACAGAAAGTCAGTAAGATATTTACAGCATTTCGATGGAGCTCAAAGATGGCTTGCGGGCTTACAAAATCGCTCGAGTTGCTGCCACCACCTTGGGCGGCGACATTATCGGGCTCGGGCATGATGGGCGCCGAGATCGAGGAAGAGAGATTGATAGACGATGCGCGCCTGTTGCGTCAATCGGGGCGATGTAGACGACGATGAGTAGGTCGTTGAGTCGTTCGATGGGCGATCTCGACAGGACTACAGGTCGGTACAAAGCGGTTTCCAAGTTGCTGAACAGGCCAACCGTTGCTTCGGAAAGAATTCTTCGTGTACAAGTCGTTGCAGAACGGATTGAGAGTCTAGACGAGTCCAAGGATTTGGAATAGGAGCGGGCGTGAGGTGAGAATAGGCCAATCTCCACCGAAGCTTTCGTAGCAATGTGACGGTATCCGGATGCGGTCGCCTGGGGGAATGGGGGCTAAAGTAGATAGTAAGGGATCTAAGACAGCAGAGCGTCCTCGAGGAGGATATGCGGCCGAAGTGTATCCAAAAGGCTTTGTTCGGTATGGTGCGCTGGAATCGAGGGAGGGCGCAGTCGTGGGAGACGTTGGAACGGGTCGCCGGCCTCGATTGAGCAGAGGTTGAGGTTTCGCAGAGTCGAAAAGACGAGATCTAGGAAACTGGGAACTGGCGCAGGGCACCAGATGGATGGATGGATGGATGGATGGCAGGCCCCGACGTGGAGCAGGACCTGGCTGGTGCGTCTTTGGTGCTCGTTCTGGTTTTTTGGCGCTGCTGGTACTTCGTACTGCTGGTTCGTACTCGACTGGGACCCGGCCGACGAGGGAGAGGGAGGTACGGGGACGGACGGGGGTGTGGGAAGGGGGCAAGGATGAGGGGGTGTGGACGTGTGGTGGACTTGGGTGCGGCGACAGGGAATGGGGGTGAGCTGGATATGCTTGGTTTTTGACTGCTCTGCTTGCCCTGCTTCTGCGTCTGTCGCCTGCGGCCTGCGTGTGTGCGTGTGTGCGTCTGGGGGTCCGAAAGTGGGAGAGATTCAGATGGGAAGAGTCGACTCAGTCGAGAGGTGCAGCGCCGCGGCCACGGTGGGATGGTATTGGGATGCGCGGTGCAGTACCGCACTGGTGCTGGCCTGACGTGCGAGCGAGATTGCGGTGGTGGTGTTGGGTGTCCACGAGTGATTAGCGCGCTGCCTCATATGCAAGTCGCTGTTCAAAGGGACGAATAGGTTATCCGGTATGGATTGCTATGTGGTGCTGGCGTTCGCGCTCGTGCTGCCGCTGCCACTGCCGCCGCCGTCTTCGATGGCTTGTACCCTTCTTTTCCTATTCCAACCAGCTACTTTATCGCAAGTTAGAAACCCAGAGCGCCATGGGAAAGAGGAAAGACTCGGCTTGAACTGTACAAAGAAGCACTCACTCACTGGGAGGGCGGCTCGATAAGATCACGGCGATGAGAGATGCGAGTGAGGTGATGCCTTGAACAAGAGAAAGCCGCGGGAGCAGACTGACAGGGGTAGCCTGAGGTACTAAGGTAGTGTTGAGATTGAGCCTGGCAGGATCCGATATTGAGGTTGATGAAAAAGGGAAACTTTGGCCTGTGCTAATCCTTCCAACGTCCGCGCACGATGTATCAGAGAGAGAAGGCGCCGACTCCTCAGTGCCAAAGAGAGTGTTCTGTTCCTGATCTATCTGTTGTTTCTTCTCGAGTCTGAGTTTCTGAGTCCTGGTAATGGTGGATGATACCCTCGAGCCAAATGGGTCGAACTGGAGATGTTGGGTGGAGAGAAGAGGCGAGCACGAGGACGGTGACCCTGTACCTGTGTCCACTGCCCGTACCTTACGGATACCTCGTTCGAGTCGTTCCAGTGGGTATGGGTACCGTAAAAAGAACGGGAACAAGCGGACGAGTTGTCTCAATCTCGATCGGCTGGTCCTGCTGCATTTCCTGCGCGGCGCGGAAGGGAAGGAAACGCGGGTGCGGTGCGGGCGGCAGGTTCCAGGAGCAGAAAAGCGACCTGGGCCGTGGGGCGGCGGGCAACGGACGGGGGAGAAGCCTGACGCCTGAAGCCCCCGAATCTTGAATCTCAAAGGCTGAAGCAGCGCGTGGGAAGCGGGAAATGTGAATGTGATTTTAGTGCCGTATTGCTGTGTATGCGAATTTGCGACCCAGGAAACCTCATTAAACACGGTAAAAGGACCTTTCGGAGGGGAGAGGGGGGCGGGGGGGGGGGCAACTGGCAATCTGGCAGCCCTGGTCTGTCAATGGACCCCGGCCCTGGTCGACAAGTCGCGAATTGTCGAATTCGAGGTCCCAGTTCGCGCAGCTCGTGGCCCTTGTGCCAACTGCGGTTGCATTGGAAGTGGTTAAGCTGCGATGGGGACAAGAGACATGCGAATCGTGGATCAGCCCTTCCATGTTCACAGTGTGACAGTGTGTCCTTTTTCTCCTCTCGTGGGATTCGTCCATTTCGGGTCCGCAGCCGACCCCACACCTGGGACGTCTCCAGTTGCTGCCGGCTGCGCGGGTCCACTGATGATCCGTGTCGGAAACAATGACCTCATACTGTCCTCAGAACATGGCAAGACGTCTGACGGTGTGACCAGTACGTAGCTACGTACCTCGACAAGCCCTGCATGCACGCTTTTTTCCCAACCCGGGAGTACCTCGGTACACTAACAGAACAGGCACCACCACCACCTCAACTTGCCCTTCTCGTCGCCCGATGGTTCATCAAGCCAATTTCAACATGCAGACAACCTCAGTGCTCACAAACAGGTGGTCCAAAGATAGCTACGGCTCGCCACCGACCAGACCGAGCATTTCGACAGCATCCCTAAAGGCTCTAATAAGTATACCGTCCTTGCCACCTGTCCCCCATGTGCCTCAGGTTGGCATAGGGTACTACCAACTTCAACCTCATCTACCGTCTCCACCACACTCTCACCATCCGCGTCTCTCTGACCGTGTCGTGTGTTGCACCTGTCAGGACTTCCCCGGTTCGACTAGCCGACAGAAGTCGGGCTAGTAGGCGACATGCAACCCAGACAAGCCAGATTCCGCCACTCAATCTTCTCGATAGATCAAAATCATCGGAGCTAAGAGCACGTCTACCACAGCAGAGTCACTCGTCCCAACTTGCAAGGCACGGTACACGCGCCTTACGTAGACGACATGCACTCACAGAGCTTGTCAGTGCACTTTGCAAAGTCATCTGGCCAAGGTTTGGTCTGACCTGCTGGTCTAGGTATGCAAGCACTGGCAGGCTGCCTACGCGGGGAACTAACTTTTACCACGGGCTGATATTCGTTAGTAGGGAAATGGCACCTTGGCTCTGAACTGCTGCTCTGGACCCTTGCTCTTTGTGTCGTGTTGACCTAAAACCACCTCGCATCCTGACTCTCCAACTCCTGGCCTGAACCCACAAGGCGATCCAGATGAATACCTACCTAGCGTGTGAAGACACAGATGCTCGCACGCACACAGTGGTCATCCTTCACACCACGAATAGGGAGTCCGAGACAATAAGGAACTCGGGTTATCCGACGCTGGGGGCCAACTGGCGCCCCAAAAGCAATTCCGGCGGGCAAGCAACCACCAAGTTGCGTGCCACACGGCGCGATGGCTTCTTCTCAAAGACCCTGTCGTCCTGAAAATATCGTGCTCGAGTAAGCCATCTTCTCGGCGACCTCGAAAGACGGACTGGCATCCGAAATATGGAGTAACGAATAGGACACGGCCGGCTGTTTCCGCGACACACGATTCCTGCTGCGCTGTGCGAGTGTCCTGTATAGGAGCAACGAGCGCAGAGACAGCTGCAGAAATTATCTTGTCTTGCTTGTCTCGCCGACTCCTAGGATGCATGCCATCTCAACTCTGGGCGGTAAAGGGTCCTTCCTGTAGTGCGGGGAGAGACGGAGAAACGGTTTGGGAGAACCTCTCGGACAAAGACAAAACTGGAATAAAGACCCTTCATACTGTGCTCCAAGTCAACAGTAGTTGTTCGCCAATCGAGTGGATGCCCGTGTGATGGGCGGTGGATTTGGCAACTTGACCGGCCTACTGCACCACCCGCCCAGCCATCATCCTGAGGACCAAGACAGCAACGATCCGCGATGGCTGCCTCTAGATTGGCCAGCCTTGATTAACTGGATCAGCTCAAGACGTCCTAAACGGGCGTCTGAGTCTTGCCGCGCTGCCACCATCTGACGAGCAGTCCAGGCTGCTTTGACAATAGGTCCTACAATCCGCTGTCCCTTTTCCGCCAATCCTCCCACCTGAAGACGGTTCGTTCCCGCCAGTGTATTTCGAACGTTAATGACCACGGCGGTCTAGAGATCACAGCATCTTTCAGACACACAACAACGAGATATCAAGTTGACCTCGCCAACTACAAACCAATGACGCCGGTAACTAATACGCAAAGCTGTGTTTTACACTTTCGGTCCTGTCCCCTTCAATTTCTCAACAGTGTAACGCAGTCTGCTCATCTTGAAGCAGCATCTCGCTGATCCTAATCTGTCGTCCGGGGTGACCTTTCTCTGCTTTCTAGAAGGCATTGCGTAAAGGGCGTCGCAGCGCAAGCCTACCTCGTCAGCGCGTGCAGCATAGGGCAGACCAGACTCGAGCACTGACAGCAGCCGAAACCCGGCCTTCTGGGACCGCCCTTCGGTTTGAACCGACTACCTAAAAACCTCCCTCGCCAAAGGAAGCTTAGATACTGCCTGTACGAATAGTTCAGATGGGCACACGGCATTGTGCTTTCCAACCGTACCTTGCGGTGCATTCCCCTCCATCTGGCCCATGCAAGGGGTCCCAGCGAAGGACGTGTCGGCCGATTGGACTGCTCAGTCCCCGGAATACTTCAGCGTGCGGACACAAATAATTGAATTAGCTCAGCGGTCCCAGGCCGATTCCGAAACGGACAGCATTCCATCCGGCGCCAAGATCGGCAAACCAAGAAGTTGGACGGCGCCACGGCGTCGCCAAGGGTTCAACGTCGCCAAACGGACAACTAGGATGCTGTCAAAGCATGCGGCCGGCGGAGGTGACGCAGCTCGCGCCGAACTTGCCCTTCTCAGGTTGCCAACTAAAATTAAGGTACACGAAGCTTTCAATCAACCTTGAAGTTATCATCATCAACATCATCATCATGGACGTCCGAGCGGCAACATGGCCAAACATGGCACACTTGCTGATGGAGGCTGAAGTTAGCAGACAACTCCAAGCCGGCCTGTCCCATCTACACAGCGACGCTAGCCCCATTATGACGCAACTGAGGGGACGCTGCCAGTTCTGCACGGGTCACACCATCCACACCGTGACCTTGGCGCCCAGGACCAGGATCCATGAGATCTCCCGACCGATGGGAGAGGGAAAATGATGAGGCGGGACGGTAAGATTTTTCACAGCGTCAGGTGAGGGAGGTCACCGTCAAACCCCTTGGCCCTATCCACTGTCCGCCACTGGTGCTGGGGGGTTGGCCCCAATTGGCGAAACCATCCGGATTCCTACCACGACGCACGATGTAAATTGCAGAGCAGTATCCAGGGGACCAGCAGCACGTTTTGACGGCACGACGGCTGCCCGCTTCACCGCAAATACCTACTCTATTCGAACACTGTGCAGCCAACCACGGAGTCGGATATTTCCCGGCTGCCTCTCACTCTTGCCGTACGGTACCGCACTTCTGGCTGAAGGGTCTCAGACCGAGCAGTGCGAGCCTGAGATCCTCCTCTCCTTGTCAGACGTCTCCATTCGTTGGATGCCTGCGGCGGGGATTACGAGCAGGGGATCGACATTGGCGTTTCCGAAAACACTTTACACCCGCCGGATCCGAAGTCGAACACACACTCGAACACCCGTTACAGCCGCCCTGTCAGTTGCTGGTTGGTGATCGCGTCTCGAGGCGCAGAGAGCCGCTGGCGCGGTGAGCCTCCAACCGCATCCGATGTTTCTGAAGATGCAGATGCCGTTAAGCCGAGGACACCAGCAACGTTCCCGCAGTGACCAGCAGATTCAATTTTTTCTGATGAAATGTAATACTGTTACGAGGTGAGATGACTCTAGGACATCTAAGACGGGCTTGGATCCATCTAATCAGATTACCTTTCCACGCCTTCGTCCAAAACCGGCTCAATTCTTGAACAAGAAGTCAGCAATGGGCTCAGACAACATGTTTCTAGAGACACCGGACGGCACATGCTGGACAAGTCCTCTTCCCCTCAAGGGATCGTCAAGCGGCCCTCAGGATTATTGATCTGAATCCCTCTCCAGTCGATCATCCCATCCGCCAGAACCAAGTGCCTGGGACGAGATCGAATCAGGCCATATCGCCGAGCTCTACGAGTGCAGGGAGATTGGGTTCGAAGACATCGTGGCCGAGCATTCCACAGCGGGGGACCAGGCGCCGAGACACAATGTCTCGAGCTAGAGGGCGGGCGAGCGCCCGGCTCCGCGTTGTTGATGGCTTTTGCTCCCGCCCTGCCAGCCGGACGTAGCGCCGTAGACCAGCAGGTGCCGGCCATGGCCTCCTCCCTTGAACCCTTTATAGCCCTATCGCGTGGCATGTGTGGCATATATCGCCCGCATGGAAGTCCACCAATCATCTATGATCCTTCTTCCAGATTGGCCTGTTTTTTTCGAGACAGTGATTGACTGGACAACTTGCATACTGAAGACCCTTTTTGATTCCACATCACTGGCATGGAGGCGAGTTTCGCACATCGGCATCGTGTCGAGAATTACCTGGCGATCGCCAGCTGAGATACGTATTCTTCACGCTCCTGTCAATTACACACAAAGGAGATCCCTTTGAATCGTAATCCAGACCTGTCTGAGGTGAGCTTGAAGCACTGGGGGTGTTCTCATTTCAAAATCGCTGGGAAAATTCCGCAAACCAACCAGCCAATGAGATTCAACTTCGGGCGAGACGCCGCTCCAAG